CATTTAAGATAAAAAATTTTATTTTGTTTTATTTTTTTTTTATCCAATACAGCAAATATTATAAGCAGCATAAATAAATATATGTATATATAAACATTTAAAAAAAAACATGATTTAACAAATGGTGTCGTACGAACTGTTTTCACAATTACAAATAACTTCGGTTTTACAATATTTACTTAAGACTTTTTGAACAAACTGATTTCCTTTCATTAACAATACAAATAAACATCTAGGTGAGAATCGAGTATGTTCTATAAAACAATTATCATCGATTTCAAAACTATGTAGAATTATTCCACACCAATGACATTGAACTGCGTCGTCGAGATTGATATAGTAAAATCCACATTCCGAGAGTTTGTACTTATTCTGTCCGGATTTGAAGGGAAACTTTTAAAAGTTCGTAACCTCGATACAAATGTAGAGAATTCTGGATACGCTGGCTTTGAATTGAATCGTATTTGATCGACCAATGACTGGATATCGTTTGTGCATTTTTAAAAATTTATTTTTGAAGAAATTAAATAACTTATACAATTTAATAAAACTTTTAGAAAATAAAGAAAAATGAGACACAACTTGAGAGAACAATAGATCATTAGTAACTGAATCATTAATCTTTTTTCTATGAACTGAATATAATAAAAAAATAATCAACTTTAAAAACTATTGTAAATTTGTTTATCAAATTTTAGATTAAAAAAAAACAGTGTAACCAACACAAGTAAAAAAGAAAAATAATAAAATATATTTTTTTTGCGTGAGACGAAATTTGACAGACAATCAGTGTGAAATGTGTTACACGGTAAATTTGAGTGCTCCAAGGGGACATTCCCCGCTTGAACTTTTTTTTTCCCCTGGAAAAGCTGGCTGTGAACACACAAATATATACTAAGAAAAAAAAACAATTTGATGAGATGTTGAGAAAATTAGTGAACGAGACACAACTTGCTCAAGCACTTAATCGTTAGTAACTGAATTACTGATACATGACAAAATAAATTTTGTCATGACTGAATATAATAAAAAAAAATAATCAACTTTAAAAATTATTGTAAATTTGTTTATCAAATTTTAGATAAAAAAAACAGTGTAACCAACATGAGTAGAAACGAAATACTGTAAATATTTTTACGAGGCAGAATTTGGTAGACAATCAGTGTGAAATGTGTTACACGGTAAATCTGAGTGCTCCAAGCGGACATTCCCCACTTGAACTTTTTTTTTTCCCTGGAAAAGCTGGCTGTGAACATACAAATATTATAACGTTAATATATATTATATAACGTTAAAGTTAACCAGACAAAATATGCGAATGCATGAAAGTCCTTGCTCTATTAATATATTATAAGTAATAACTGGAAAAAATATTATTATTTTTTAACTCTATAGTGTGCAATTATTAAATCTTTACGTAAGGGTTCCTAAACTTTAAAATTCAATAATTTATAATTAGCTTAAAAAGGAATGACGTTTTTTCTGATTTGGCGGAAAACGGAAAGGTAATTTTTGGCGGAAATCGGTGACACCCTACTCGCCATATCTTTACATAAAACTGCAAAAGAAACATTTGTATACATAGGTAACATAGGTACTAATAGCTTGCAGCTGCGTATTGTCATTAGGAGCCAACTATAGACATCTGTTCGCTCGCTCGCCGAACATTATAAAATAATCAATAAATGATCATTATACCTATAGTATATCGAATAGAAGAAGCATTAGCTATCAATTCTTCCTGTATAATAATAGTCAGTCTACAGGCTGTCGCAGATTCTTAATAGCCACCTATCACGTTTGCACCCATCTTAACATTAGGCCACAATGGTGCTTCCGTCGTATATTTCCTGCCATTAGATATTATTCGTATTCAATATTTGTACACACACACAAGGAAACATTATAAAATAATCAATTACTTAATTATATTTTAATAATACAAGTATCTTCCACAAGAAGCATTAGCGTAAGTAGTTTATGTATGCCAATTCTGGCGCAGCATCTTTAAGTTGCAGCTCATAATATTATATCAGTAAAAGATCACAAAGAAAACAATGTGCAAAAGATCAGAAAAATTGAAATGCAATAATAATTAAAAATATTTTTCGCAAAACTTATTAAATGCAATAATAATAAAAATATTTTCCGCAAAACTTAATTATTAATAATTAAAATCGAAATGCAATAATAATCAAAATATTTTTTAATAGAATTGTTCTATTAAAAATAAAAATCGAAATGCAAAAAATGTATTAAAAAGAAATTAAAAAAAATTAATTTAAAAATTAAAAATATAATAATTAATAAATAATAAAATAATGGAAACAACTATCAAAGATTTTAATAAATTACAAGAAAATGAAATGCTAAAAGAAATAGAAAACTCTATATTAAATAATGAAATCTTTGTCAAGTTTAGTCCTTTTGAATACTATGAAAAAAAAAATAATAATAATAAAAATATTAAAATCATGAAATATAATCTAAATAAAATTCCAATTAAAGGAAATATTTTAATTGTCGATCATGGACACGATGTTTCTGGAAATGGAAAGCCTTATGCTTCTAAAATACTAGAATCACCAACATGGCTTGAAATTTGTAAAATAGCTAATGATTTAATAATTGCAACCGATACTTATTTTTTCAACCATCTCCATATTTGTGTTGTTCAAGATTTAGAAAATATTAAAATATGTAGTCTTGGTATGGGATGTAACTATTCCGATCACAAAATGTTTAGAACATAACTATTATTAATTTAATTTTTAATAGAATTGTTCTATTAAAAATAAAAATCGAAATGCAATATTTCCTAAAATATTTTTCTAATCTTTTTGATTTTGATTTCTATTCAGTGTATTGAGATGGTTTACAAAATCATTTCTATCTATATTTGTTTTATAATGTCCCCAAGCTAATGTATCAATACCATTTTCCAAAATAAATCTTTTATCATCATAAACACTTAAAGCTTTTTTGTTTTGTTCTACAGTAAAAAAAAATGTTTTTTAGTTCTAAATAAATTTTTTTAACATATTTTGATTCTTTTGTGAGTAAACATTTTTCAAAATCATTAAAACATATTTTATTTTCTACAACATTTTTTTTAACACCTTTAGCTTTTTTAATTTCTTTTTCAGTATCTAAGATTCGATGTGAATATAATTTGGATCTTAAACCTATAAATTCTGTCATAATTTTTCCATTTAACTCATCTTTAAACTTGCCTAAAACTTTTTTGTTAACTAAAGGTAAACCATAAATATTATCTTTTTTATAATCTGAAGTGTCAAAATGGTCTAACATAATTTTCATATCTTGATAATGTTGAAAGTGAAGCTTGACGGACTAATGATGTTAGCATTAATATAATAAGTAATAACACGACAATATGATTATGTATAAGTATAATATATAATAACGTACAACTGGACAATTAAACTGTGACAGTACACACACATCGTATACGCTCTGTACAACGACGCCTGTGCAAGTGAATATTACATACATCAAAGGCCCTATATATATGCACGACCGAGGTCATGTTACATCCGTGAAGAAAGTGAGTCTTATGCTCGTACATAACTAGTTACTATATTGTACACACGTGTCAAGGCTGACTACATATACTACATATTAATTGTATATTTCAACAGATAAAAATCATTAGTTTTTATTTCTAATATTAGTGAATCTGTATCTGTGTATAACAATCTAACTCTATTTCCATATTTTTTCTTTATAATATTATAATGAAAATCATACATTAACATTTTTGATAAATCTAAAATACACATTCCTACATATATTGGTTGTTTGAAAAATATTTGTGTTCTTTTCATATGTACTGCAGCTAAATTTTCTGTAAAAATTGCCTTTCGATCAAAATTTGGTTTTACAATTAATTTTTCTAGTTGGGCTGCATTAGAACATAATCTTATATCAACATGATTTCGAACATTCATCATAGTATGTCCATAAACACTATTATTCATTAATTTGAAATATTCTTTTTTAAACTCATTCTTAGCTTCTGATCTAAGATTATTATTAAAATCAATATAAACTTTTAACCAAGGAGATTCACTAAATTCTAATACTCTATGAATTTTCTTTATCATTAAACTTAAATTAATATATAATCATAGGCGCAATTACGTGGGGGGCTAGGGGGGGGGGCTTAGCCTTCCAAATAAAGCCATGACTTACGTACTTTTTATTCGTCATAGAAATTGGAATATTTTTTTTTTTAATTAAAAAAAACCTGAAATTATTATCCAGGTTGCACAATTCATAAAAAAAAAATATAAACGAGTTAAACGCATTGGTCACACTGGTTCTATATCGACAACCGTGGTTGTCACTTATCAGTTATCGGCTAACAGTATGAGTTGACCCTTGACAGTACTACAGTAGTTGTAATGTTATGTCACGCACGTGGAACGTCCACACGTACGACGTACCTTCTACTTAGTGTTTAAATTTTAATTGCAAATAACGATTATCTCATGTCTACGACCAACTATTTTGATATTTTTAAACCTAAAAATGGAGGAAAAACAAACCTTAATGTGATGAAGCCGAAGGTAGAAACTACTGCGAGTGTGACTACAGTGACTACAGTCACCGAAATTACAACAAACTCTAATTTGGATCTTGGTGATTGACGTCTGGTCCTGTAAGACCTATTTTAGAGGTAAGATATGTGACATTAAAACTCGTAGTTCACTATTACTATAGGTAATTAGTATTATCCTAAAATGCTTATTGCTTATAAATCTGTGATCTGGTTTTTTTAACTTTCACAATGACTTATATTTACTCTTTTCTTGCAATTTTGCTTACTGCTTTGTGATACTTAGGTTTACCCAAAAACTAAGCATGGTAATCAGAATCGCTCATTTTCTGCTGCTTATTTTAATGAATTTAAATGGCTCGAACCAAGTAAAAAACCATATTATCAAAGAGATAGATAACATAGGATTTTTACTTTGATGTGTGACGAAGCCTGGTATGTTTAAAATATACATTAGGTACATAATAATTAATAGGTATATATAAATTATTCATTTTAAAGGAAGTAATAGAAAACATTATTTTAACTTTAATTTTTGAAGGTGTTATAAAGAGGAACAACTTTCAATTTGTGTTAGATACACTGTGAAATTACAAGCGTATGAAAGATTTTTAGGATTTGTGAATGTATCATCGGGCCAGGATGCAGATCATATTGTCTCTTCTATCATCAGTTATTTTGAATCTAACAAAGTCGATTTGAAAACTTTAAGTATAATTGCCCAATCATATGATGGGGCAAGTGTGATGTCGGGTTGCTTAGGAGGAGTTCAAGCTAAAATTAAACAGTTGTATCCTTGTGCTATCTATACGCACTGCATGGCACATCGGTTAAATCTTGTTGTAGTGGACATGTGTAAAAATATAAAGGTGAAAATAATTTGATAAAAAATTATAATATATTATTATGTTGAAATCAAAAATATTTATTTTAGAGTGCTCGTACTACATTCAATGTATTAGAAGCAATATATGTACACTTTTCACGACCCTCAAACAACAAAAAATTATGTGATATTCAAATGCAATTGGGCTTAAAGAAAGGAACCGTACTAAGAATCTGTGACACTAGATGGGTGTGCCGTTATAAAAATTGTCAAGCTATGTTATTAAACTTTAAAAGTATTATTGAATTTCTTACAATTGAAGTTGATGAAAATAATGACAAATATGCTGCTCAAGCATTAGGTAATGCTATAAAATACCTTTTTTTAAAACATTACAATTTTACTTTCCACTATGTTTTTCAGGTATATTAACTTCAATTCCAAAACCAGAGTTTTTAATTTTAATAACTATTATAAAAACTGTTTTGGGTATTATAAATGTCTTGAGCAACAAACTGCAATGTAAATCTGCTACTCTTGGAAACTCTTCTAATGTTGTTCAAAGTATCATCACTACTTTTGAAAATATGAGATCTGACAGAGAATTTACAGAAATATGGCAGACAATTACAAAATTAGCAAATGAAAATAATGTTGAATTATCCACAGCATGTATGTTTTGAGAAGAATATCTTGGTTAAAATCTGTTTTATTAAAAATTACTGTTTATATCCCTTTTACAAGGTTACAAACGTAAACGCAAAGAGCCTAATGCTCTTAAAGAATATGTTGTAACAACTACTACTGGACAAGAGTGTGATGATGAGCAAACGGATACATCAGTTAAGGTATTTTGGAGAAGAACAGCATATATGGCAGTTATTGATACTACATTAGCTAATCTAAAGTATAGATTTTCATATGATAGTTTGAAATTGGCAAACTCAATCGATAGTTTTTGTAAAATGGACTATAATAATGGACTTTATTTCATCGAACACTACAAGGTAAATTTAAGTTAATAGTAATCTAAGTAAGTAAATAATAATTTAAAAATTAAAAATATTGTAATATCATATGAATTTATTTGTGTATTTATCAGTAGCCATCCGGACATCTGGTTTATAAGCTTATGGTGGTGCGGGGGCAAAGCCCCTGCGGGTTAGTGTGACTTAAACAATTCTAGCCCCCCCCCCCCCCCAAAAAAAAAAAAAAATTGACCCTAGTTGCGCCTATGTATATAATTTTAGTGATTCATAATGTATTATATATTTTTTCTTATCATACAAAGTTGTTAATAATTTTAGGAGTTGTTTGTTATCAAAATGACTTTCTGGTGCTAAAGGGAAATCTGAATGTAGATTATGAAGTTCTTTAGGGTAAGATAAATCAACTTATAAAATATAACTTTTACATGATTTATCAGAAATATTCATTACATCAAAATCATTCAGATTATCAACCCATTTGAAATCTCCAGTAGGTAAATATTTACGCATTGCCCAACCATAAGGATTATTTGCATCCAAGTATTCTAAAAATATTGATTCCTCCTTTTTTTTAATTTATCTCTCATGTATTTATTATTTGATTTTGAATGTCTTTGACCACATTGAAATAAGCCACCTCTGATTCCAGATTCAAACATCAATAATTGATCGACATCTGTTAATAAATCTAATTTTACTTTTGTCATTCTTAACATGCAATTCTACGCAAATCCTTGTGTTGTGTAATACCACATAGGATCTAATTTATAATTTTTTAAAGAAACATCTCTAAAATTTTCTATTATATCTGTTGATAATAAAACATCGATCTTATTATATAAACTAGTGTATTCACGCATATTTTGTATATTAAAAACTTACCAAATTTTCTGTGAGTTTTCATATTCCTCTTTAGTTATATTTTTATCAGTGAGAGAACTATAAAATGTTTCAATAGGAGGTAAACATGTTTCATTAAATTTTTCTTCACAATCCATATACTCATAGGGATAAGCTAAGTTTCTAGTAACTAAATCTAAATGTTCTTCAGGAAAAAATTTACTAAGTTCTTTAAATTTAATTTTGAATCATTTCTTAAATTATTTGTTAATTTTTTTAAGAACAAGGCAACAATTTGAATGAATCTATAAATCTTAATTCTGTATATAGCACTATGTCTTCACCTTTCCTAGTTACTTTACGTGGCATCATTTTTAAAAAAGAAATATAGTTTTCCTCATTAGTTGGGAGCAATTTTATTCTTTCATTATCGTTCACGAATTCTTTTATAAATAGAGGGTCATCATAATCTGAAAGATTTTGAAAAACAATTGGAATAAAACGTGGATTTTGGTAGTTAAGATTACAGATAGAATGTGCTGCTCCTCTATATTCTCCAGTTAAATGGTCATGATCCCGAACTTTTCGCATTATTTATTTTTATTTTCTAATTCTTTTTTAAGTTTATCTTCATACAATTTAAATTTTTTAACATCATCAATATTTTCATAATATTCAATGTCTTTAATTATTTTAAGTTTATATTTATACAATTTTAATTTATAATATTTTATAATATTTAATAATTTATAATATTCAATAGTGTCTTTAATTATTTTAAGTATATCTTCATTCAATTTAAATTTTTTAACATCATCAATATTTTCATAATTTTCAATAGCGTTTTTAATTATTTTAAGTTTATCTTCATATAATTTAAATTTTTTAACATCATCAATATTTTCATAATGTTCAATAGCGTTTTTAATTATTTTAAGTTTATATTTATACAATTTTAATTTATAATATTTTATAATATTTAATAATTTATAATATTCAATAGTGTCTTTAATTATTTTAAGTATATCTTCATTCAATTTAAATTTTTTAACATCATCAATATTTTCATAATGCTTAATAACGTTTTTAATTATTTTAAAATTTTTCTCTAACATTGGAGGTAAATCTGTTAAATATCTTTCACAAATATGACATTTATCAGATTTATTATAATAATTATTTAATTGTTCTGCATTCAATGTTTTCATAGGAACTATTTTATCATATATTTTAGAAATAAGTATTTCTTCATTTTTCATACATTCATAAAATACTTGAGCTACGTTTGAACCAGAATATTCTACAGGAGGTTTATAATCACCATTACTATATTTAATATAATAACAAAAATTATTAGGTATATGTTTCTGATAACATTTTGTAAAAGACTCTGTATCATTTGGTTGACAAGTATATATTGGTTGAAGTGTACTTTCAAAGTCAGCAAAAATCTCAAAAGGGACTCTTAAGGAATGATTATAATTTTGAAATTCTAAAGTTTTATTATAGGGTTCTGGTAGAACTATTTTAGCAGCTTTATTATTATTACAATAATGTTTATGGTCATTTAACAACTTATCTTCTTCATCAAAACTATTTAAACACATTTTACACAAAAATCTTTTATGACCATTTTTTGTAACTTGTCTTCCTACTACTTTCCATAAATCTTTAATCCAACAATAATGTCCTTTACTCACATTATCCTCATCAACCGCTGTTAAATATAATAAATCTATATGATTAGTTTTTTCGCTTTTACTTATTTCTGAAGGTACAATTACACTTTTATCTAAACAATAAATATTAATAGAAATATCTTTTGTTCTTTAACAAATTTCGGAACGTCTGTGATTTTTACTGGAAATTCAATATCTTTAAATTCATTTTTAAAGCTAATATATTTAGTTACTCTTTGTCCATCTTTTTCAACAGGATGTAAAGCAGAATGTATTGCCCAAAGAAAACATTTATCATCTTTATTTTTAACATTTATAATACCCTTTTTATTAAAAATATGTTTAGGTAATGGAATATATGAAGAACCCTTAAAAGGAACATATTTATTTTTATTTATTCCCAAACTTAAAATTTGATGAAGTCTCTATTGTGAATCTTTCATTATAAAATCTTCTTCTTCTTTTACAATTTTAATTTTTGCATTTGTATAAAATTCATTTAAGTTAGAATTTTGTGTTAAAATTTCATTTTGTGTCTTAAAATTACATTCTTTATATTCCATATTTTCTTCATTAGTAAATCTCTTATATATAGCAAGAAACATAATATTAACTTTTAAATTTCTCTTATTTAATTCATGTTTAACTCGTCCTATTACTGGATTATCTAAACGATTTAAAAACACTTGTACATCTTTAATACCCATATTATTTTTAATAATATAAGTTTTTAATCTACTTTGAAATGCTGTTTCTTCAGTTTTTAAAATAGGTCGAATAGTGTTGTTTATTTCAAAAATGTTTTCACTAAAATTGAAAACTCTATGTGGTTTGGGTATTATCTCTCTTGATATTCTTGGTCTTATACCATTGTTTTGATGTCGAATAGATTGCACATGTTTAGACCAACTGTTGTATTTAACTGTTAAATTACAAATATCACAAGTTTTATATGCAGATCTTTGTATTCTCTCTTGTCTTGTTCTTACATTTGTTGTTGTTGTACCTCTGTATGTTCGTCTAAATCGAGGCATAATTGTTTGATCTGGATCATTGTTTTGATGTCGAATAGATTTCAAATGTCTAGACCAATTTTTATAACTAACTGTTAAGTTACATTTATCACAAGTTTTGTTATACATTTTATTATTGTTAAAATTCTTTTTAACTAAAGGTTCAATTTTATTTATTCCTTCCATTTAGTATAGAGAATATTATTTTTTTTTACATTCAATTTTTTAATAAAAATTATTTTTATTAAAAATTCTATTTAAATAATATTAAGATCCCATACTAAATTCACACATTTTAATATTTCTTAAATCTTGAACAATCTTAATATCTTCTAGATAATGGTGAGTATAATTGTAGGTATGTGGACGGTTTAGAAAGAATGTAGACACTTTGGCAACGACAACCCGTTTATTATGTACAGTATAACAATATATAGACACTATATAATTATCGCGGATTTACTATTTCGACGTGTGCGGCGTTGTCAACGGTCCGGCGAAAGCTGCCACCGTCGCCACCGCCGTTGGCCGGGCGGGCGGCCGTGCCGCAGGCGGCGGCCAGACCGGTTGTCGGTCGCGATCTCGCGGACGCCGATAGAGACACCGCGGCCGTTGCGATAACGACCGCGACATAATCATCTGTTGTAATAATTTGCTCATTAGCTATTTTACTAAGTTCTAACCAAGTTGGTGAATGTAATAGTTTAGAAACACAAGGCTTTCCATTTCCAAAATAAACATCTCCTTGTTTAATAATAAAAATATTTCCATCAATTGGAATTTTATTTAGATTATATTTAATACTCTCAGAATTTCCATAGCATTCAAAAGCACAAAATTGCACATAACATTTATTTTTTTTGTATACTTTTTTTATATCATTTCGCATTAATTTCAAAAAATTAAAAATTTTTAGTCTATATTGATTAATTGGTACACCATTATATTTTGTATTAACTCTACAAGGTAAAATTGTTTGATCTATATCATTTTTTTGATGACAAAGAAATTTTAAATGAGAAGCCCCATTTTTGGAACAAATTGTTAAATTACATTTATCACAAGTTTTAGCAGGATATATTTTTTTATTTAATACATCCATTTTATTATTTATATCAATTTCTTTAACTAAAGATTCAATTTTATTTAATCCTTCCATTCTTTATTATAGAAAATATTATTATTTTTTTCCATTCATTTTTCAATAAAAATAAGTTTTATATAAAATTCTATTTTAAATAATATTAAAGATTTTAGGTTATAATGAAAATATAAAAACTTTAAAACAATTTATAAGAAACAAAATTCCAGTTTTAGAAGGAGGTTTATATAGATATCACTTCCTTTAACTTAGGACATATTATTAAAATTTTGTGTTTTGTAACTCTTGGTTATAAAAACTCCCTATAATCTCCTATAATCTATAATTTTATAGGTAATAGGATTTGTGTTTAAAATTTCATTAACCATAAATATTCTTTTATCCAATTATTAATATATT